AGGCTAGGTGGGTTAGCCATGGGAAATGCAGGGTGACAGGGATAGGGTAGGTTGGTGGGCCTGGTGGGATGCTCTTCGGAGGATCAGTGTGGACTCGATGGGTTGAATGGCCTGTTTCCACATGGTAGGGATCCTATGATTCTTCAATGATTTAATGAGTCTAGGCTCCAGGTATCGCTGCTGCTGGGAGTCTGCGTTCACGCGGCTGAAATGCCTTGCTGACACGGCTCTGGCTTCGAAGATAAAGAGGAAAAGTATGTTGAGAAAACGATGCTGGGGTGGACAGGCTCTGATGAGCTCAAACACTTACCTACCATGCCAGTGCCATCTTGGCTTTTTGATATGAAGTTATGAAGGGATGGGAGAGAGTGAGCGTACAGAAATCGGCGGTTTCAGAGCATGAAAGGTCGAGAGTGAGGAAGATGTAAAGGTAAGATTAGACGTTAGAGGATTGCTGCAGAAAGCAGGAGAAGCTGCAACAGAGGGTTAAGAGTCTGTGACTAATGAGCGGAGCAAAGACTGTGGGTAGGAGACCTAGCGGCACAGTGTGTAGGTTCCCAGAATCTGGACCAGAAATGGTAGGAACGTAAGTTTCACACTGGCACTTGTTGGCCGTGGGAGATTCATTTGTAATGCAGCCAAACAAGTCGAGTATCAGCCTGTAAATCCCTCCAAACTGTGGTGATGGGGGACAGGAGAGTGTCCTGGTTAGTGTTCTTGACAAGACAATGGTAAACGGAATGCAGTACGATGCCCGTGAGTGCCGTTCAACCCAATGGGGATTCGTGGCCCAAATCTTTGGGATCGAGGATGGGAGAAAGGGCAGGCGCACGAGCAAGACATTCCCACAGACTTCATAATCCGCGCCGCCAGACAAAACTGGTGGACTGTCCTCCCATGGACCAGTCAAGGATGGTGGCTGTATGTGTTTACAGCATTTATCCTTTCAGACCCTTCCACGCTTAAAGAATCCAGCAATGGGATCACCATGTAAATATTGCCTGAAGTGGTCGCACAAGCCCCCTCAGAACAAGGGAAACTAGGGCTGGGCAAGAAATACCGGCCTGGCCAATGACTGCCACATCCCCACAGAGAGAAAAGAAAATGATACTCTTTGACTAAAAGCAGCCGAGTCACCGAAAAGCCTTTCTCCAGTTTGACAGGTTTGTGTTTTCACACAGGCTGGAGTGTGTTTACCAAACTGTAACACAACGGAGAGCTCGTAAAGTGGGGTGAGTTCACATCCCAATGATTTAACAACTTGGCAATGTTACAGTCTTGCAAAAGCACCCCGTGATGTGGTGATCTATTTTGGAGCGGGTACAGTGGGCAGGAGCAGAGCATCTTTCAGCAAAAAAGAAACCAAAGAACTGCGGGTGCTGGAAACAGGAAGCAATCTTTCGACAAATGTTTTTTTATTTGAAGCTGATGTGATTCGAACTTGCAGTGAAGCAATGTTTACCTCACAGCCACTACAGAAGGGGCATGAATAGACAGATAACGCCTGGCCTGCAGTGCGATAGATTTAATATCGCTAGTTGTGAGTCTCATCCACCTTCATGTACTTGTTGATTGTGATTCATCTTGTTAAGCCCACTTCTTATGCTCCAGGCTTTGTCCTGGCCTTCAAATGACTCTTAGAAGTAGGTCTTCAGCTGAAGAAGCAATGTTAGAAGAAAGCCTTCATTATTGCTTCAGAGGCATGCATGAATAGTTCAGTCCTGTCGCATCAGCTTCAGCACATTCTGAGATCATTAACAACATGCATAGGCCATTTACAGTTCCTTTCTGGTAGGGAGGGGATGGGAGAGTTTGTTTCCCGACTGGAAACCCAAATGAGAATGAGCTTTAGGCTTACAACTGAAGGCACTGAACTAAAGTCGAAAGGCAGCCATGGGCTTTTGTGATATCATAGCAACTTGCACTTATAGAACATTTTAAGGGCGACATGGTGGCTCAGTGGTTAGTGCTGCTACTTCACAGCACCAGGGTCCTGGGTTCGATCCCAGCCTCAGGCAACTGGCTGTGTGGAGTTTGCATGTTCTCCCCGTGTCTGTGTGAGTTTTCTTTGGGTGCTCTGGTTTCCTCCCACAGTCTGAAGATGAGCAGGTTAGGTGGATTGGCCATGCTAAATTGCCCATAGTGTTCAGGGATGTGTAGATTAGGTGGGTTATAGGGGAATGGGTCTGGGTGGGATCCTCCAAGGATCAGTGTGGACTTGTTGGGTTTCCACACTGGAGGGATTCTATGATGATGATGATGACTTTTAATCTTCCCCAGCTGATTTGTGAGAGTGTTTTCAAACAGAATTTTACATTGATGGCCAGAAGCAAAGGCGTGGATTTTAAGAAGTGTCTTAAAGGAACACAGACTGAGGATTCCAGAGCTCAAGGCCAAAGTATCCTAAAGTGGGTGGTGGAGTGATGGAAACTGGGGACGCTCAAGGTTGTTGGAAGAGAAGACCACAGAGATTTTGAAGGGTCTTCAGGCTGGAAGGGGTTATAGAGATAGGGAAAGATGAGGCTATGATTTGAAAACAATGAGATGAGAATCCTAAAATTGAGGCATTTGTGGAATGGGAGCCAATGTAAATCAGTAAACACAGGAGCGATGGCTGTTAAGTGTTACAAGTTAGGACGTGGCAACAAAGTGTGAAGTTAAGCCTTACAGAAGAATGAAATGTAAGCTGTAAGAAGTCACCATCAATCTGCAGAGAGGTGTGGTCAGACTACACCTTGAAAGGTCACCAATTCATAGGGGAGACATTGATGACAGTGCTGATGTGTTCCCAACACCAGAAATTGGAACTACTAGAAATCAAATGGAAAAGATATGAGCTCTAACTACTTGAATGTAATCTCCAACGAGTGTGCCAGATATTTAAGGGTTTCGAGAAAGTAATTACAGTATTTACTTTAACATTGCTTGATGGAATACAAAAGGAGACACAGGTTCGAAGAAGTAAGAAGTACTTTCAGATTAAAATTTGGAAGTTGTTCCTAGATAATGATCAATGCAGAGAATGAATTTGCAGACAGATTAGTTCCAGTTCTAATGCAGGTTATGAATCAGGCTGGCAGGAAGTTCCCTGGGACATCATCAGCCTGATGTAAGACATTTCTAACACCCAGACCACATTGGCATGTTCGACAGAGTGAAATGAGGAACCCATTCCAGAAATCATCCAATAGTCATGATTCATGGGGCCACCATAAAGCAGGGACTAATCCTTTGTTTGGATTTGTGATTGTGCAACTCCAGAAGACTTCTCTGTGAAGCTTAAAGCCATCACTCTCCTGAGGCATATCCTGTCCCACCAGCAGGACCGACACACCATGGTGGCAGCGCACTGATCAACAGCCTGGAAGCTGTAGCTGTGGGAGTCCTCGACACTAACCTCGAACACCATGAGGCATGAGGTGAAAATGACCAGGGGACCTACTGCTAATTGCGTCTGCCACCACTTAGCAGATGAATCTGTATTCCTCTATGTTGAACACCATTTGAAAGAACTACTCAGGGTAGTA